CACGAATTTCCAGCTTTCCGGCTTGCACAACTGCGGGGCAGTGCGGATTGTGGCTCTCAAGCAAAAGCCCAGGCGTATGTCTAGCCGAACCTCACTTCGCTCATGGGTTCGGAGCTTAGATCGTGCCTGTAAAAAGCTGGCAGCACCCAACATCTGATACCTCTTCGTGGCAGGTATCAAGGGCCAAGGGGCTGTCTCCACCAGGGCACATCTTTGAACACCTCGCAGCCACGACACAGGAGTTGTAATGTGGAGGGTTGGTGCCACACGTGTCCCACTTTGTGGCCTCTGACTTGACAATCACTTGACACGAAGGTTGAGTGCTGAACTATGCGTTGCAAGTTCTGGGGTGATGAGAGTCGCAATCCGTAAAAGACATGCAGAGCCTGTCTTACTGTCTTACACAAACTCCTTTATCCCGCACCCTTACCTGACAAGCGGAGTCTTTCCATGACAGGCCGGGCCAAATTTTGATGCGGAAGGGTCAGCCCTCCCCCCTTGTCACGCATCCCGATAAAGTGGGGTTATGGGACTTCCTCCCCCGCCCCTGATACTCTCATACAAATGGTCAGATGCTTGCAGAGCCCTCGCAGGTGCCCCAAACCTCAAGCCCAAACCCCCCAAACCCTTGAACTGTGTAGGAATAAAACTCTTGAGCGCGGCAGGGGTGTAAATAATCGTTCATCGTGTCCGCTTCTCCTACATGACAAAACTGTACTATACGCAAAGACCCCATTCAAATTCTTATAACGCCTTGCTTGGCCCGTTCCCCAGCCTGGACTTCGCGTTGGTGCAGTTCCCGGCGTGAGGAAGGTCGTCACCGATGCTGTCTGGAAGCAACAGCCCAGAAACTCTAATTTCCTTTAATTGTAGTAGGCATCCAACATGAGGAACCGTGAGTAAACCATGTCGGAGTCTCTGGATTCAGGGCTTCGGGGGGCTATGAAGCTTTCGACTGCATGTCAGGGTTCGGGGTTGTTGGGTTTAGGGTTTAGGTTCTGAGCATGCGCATATGTGACTGTCAGAAAACAAGGGTCCTGACCTCCCTCTACAACCAGGGGGAGGTTTTGGGTTTTAGAGTTTAGGGGTTGAGAGAACTTATATATTGGTCGAACGCCGTCTGCAGAAAGGCGCTACTTTCCAGTAGGTTAGCCCGTGTTCTGGGAGTGATCTATATCATTACAATAGGGTTTTGGGGTATGGACTTACGGTTTCAGATGCTTCGATTTCATGCTTCGCAAGCCGCCCCCTCCCCACTTAGCACTGCTCCGAGCTGCCAGAAGCAGCGCCGAAGCCAGCAATCCTGCCAGTCTTCTGCGACGAGCCATGGCTGCAGCTAATGGTTCCTTTCGGGGTTCTATAAGGACTCGATCAGGGTTGCGTGATAAAGGTTTGAATGGGGTTTGCCAGGACGTTGCAGTAGAACTATGTAGGACGATGTGGCGATACTATTTCTAAGTTCCAACGTATGTATATATATATATATACGCACATACATACATACATACATGCATGCATACATACATACATACATACATACAAACAAACATACATACATACATACACATATACACAGACATGTACATATACTTTTACATATACATAGACACATGTACAAATACATATACATATACATACACATATGCATATACATATACGCACATACATACATATATATAT